CTCCAAGATGCATTCCTGGATCTTCCAGCTGCTGGCTCCTACAGCACTCTGGGTAAACCTCTACCTTATCACCACCACCACCATGCATCAATTCACCCACATGCACCATTTCACCCACTTATTAATAAGTTTCAAGAAGCCAAAGATTTTCTCTTTCTAACCCTTATCTTACTGCCATCTAGCCCAATGTTTGGTAATCTCGTGGAGTTCATAAATGTTTGTCAGATAGAATGATCTATTCAGAAGTTTCTGGAAGTGTTATCCTTTCCACAGAGGGCCTGGTTTATTTAGACTGTTTTCCTAGTAGGAACTACCAAAACTGTCCTGAGCTCTCATTCCCAGAGAAAACCAGCATGAACAACATTCCCACCCCAACTTTCCACATGGCTGAAGGAAGGAGCAGGACCAGATGTTCCCTAGGGTCCCTTAGCGCTCCAGGATCCTTAGGTTCCAGGGAATTCCCTGGTAGAATAACATTGTTGGGAGCAAAAGAGGCCAGTGTGGCCTCTTCTCAGCAGGTCTCTAGATGGACCCGGGCCTCCGGAAGGGGTGACTGAAGAAAAGAATTCGCCACTTCAGGGTCTCACACCTTCCTCTCCTAAAACACATTTCTCTCTCCCTTGGCCTCACCTTCACTTTTTCTGATTCCTCTCTGCCAGCCTCTCCCCTTCTCTTTCTTTCTTTTCTGCTTCTCTTCTCCTACCAGCCCGACCTCACCTTCCCAGTATCGCTGCTTCCTTTTCACTCACTCACTCACTCACGCACTTTTGCGTCTCACCAGTCAAATTCACCATCCATCTACGGTCCCTGCATTTATACTGCTTCCCTCCCATACCCAAATGTCTTGATAGCTTTCTCCCTCTTTTCTTTTTTTTATTGCATTTTAGGTTTTGGGGTACATGTGCAGAACATACAAGATAGTTGCATAGGTACTCACGTGGCAGTGTGATTTGCTGTCTTCCTCCCCTTCACCCACATCTGGCATTCTTCCCCATGCCATCCCTCCCCAGCTCCCCCCCTGCTGTCCCTCCCCATTCCCCCCAATAGACCCCAGTGTGTAGTCCTCCCTTCCCTGTGTCCATGTGTTCTCATTGTTCATCACCCACCTATGAGTGAGAATATGAAGTATTTCATTTTCTGTTCTTGTGTCAGTTTACTGAGAATGATGTTCTCCAGATTCATCCATGTCCCTACAAACGACACAAACTCATCATTTCTGATTGCTGCATAATATTCCATGGTGTATATGTGCCACATCTTCCCAGTCCAGTCTATCATCGATGGGCATTTGGGTTGGTTCCAGGTCTTTGCTATTGTAAACAGTGCTGCAATGAACATTAGTGTGCATGTGTCCTTATAGTAGAACGATTTATAGTCCTTTGGATATATACCCAGTAATGGGATTACTGGGTCAAATGGAATTTCTATTTCTAGGTCCTTGAGGAATCGCCACACTGTCTTCCACAATGGTTGAACTAATTTACACTCCTACCAGCAATGTAAAAGTGTTCCTATTTCTCCACATCCTCTCCAGCATCTGTTGTCTCCAGATTCTTCAATGATCGCCATTCTAACTGGCGTGAGATGGTATCTCAATGTAGTTTTGATTTGCATCTCTCTGATGACTAGTGATAATGAGCATTTTTTCATATGTTTGTTGGCTTCATGTATGTCTTCTTTTGTAAAGTGTCTGTTCATGTCCCTTGCCCATTTTTGAATGGGCTTGTTTGTTTTTTTCTCATACATCTGTTTGAGTTTTTTGTAAATTCTGGATATCAGCCCTTTGTCAGATGGGTAAACTGCAAAAATTTTTTCCCATTCTGTTGGTTGCCTCCTCTGGACGCCAAGAAACAGGAGGGGCTGCCCTGGGTCATGACACTGCCCCGCGGTGGGTCTGTGAAAGTCAGAGTGGCAATGACGCAGCGCTGGGAGGAAAGCTAGGTCGGGGGAGAGGGAAGAAAGCCAAACGCTGGGCTGCTAGGATCCCGCTCCCTCACCCTCCCCGCCACCCGCCCAGGCGCAGGCAGGGCACAGGCGACAGGTGGGAGGATTAAGAGGCTGCCGGAGAATCTGGTTCACCAGGCTTTTCCTCAAGGAGCCCAGGGTCATCATGCAGAAGCAGCAGAGCCTCGCCGGGCGCAGTGACTCAAGCCTGTAATCCCAACACTTTGGGAGACCTAGGTGGGAGGACCACGAGGTCAAGAGATCGAGACCATCCTGGCCAACACGATGAAACCCCGTCTCTACTAAAAATACGAAAATTAGCTGGTAGTGGTGGCAAGAGCCTGTAGTCTCAGCTACTCGGGAAGCTGAGTCAGAAGAATCTCTTGAACCTGGGACGCAGAGATTACAGTGAGCTTAGGTCGTGCCACTGCGCTCCAGCCTCGCAACAGAACGAGACTCTGTCAAAAGAAAAAGAAAAAGAACCAGCAGAGCCTTGTCCACACTCAGCGCCAGAGCATCGACGAGCTGCAGCGGCGGCTGGACGGAGCTGAGCGCGGAGAATCGCTGCTTGTGGGAGCATCAGCAGCTGCTGCAAGCTTAGCCTCCGCCAGGATTCCTTACCTGGTGATTTACCAGCTGCCGGCCTCCTGGGCACCGCTGCCGCCACTGCAGGGGCCCGGGAACCTCTTCAGCACTACGGACAGCGCTCATTCGCCCAGTCACAGCCCGCTCCTGAGCCGGCGTCTCGGCCGGCATCGTTTCAGAACCACGGACAGCTCCTGGCGCAACCCCAGCCGGGCTCTGGCGGCAGGGCTCACACACCCCAGGCGCTCCATCAGCACCTGAGGACACTTGGGGCCAAGGCCAACAATGAGAAGAAAGGTCCCCCGGATTGCCATGCTGCCCCCGGAGTTCCTCTTCAGCAAGAATCTCCCGCGCCGTCGCCAAAGGCCAAGCAGCAGACCTGAGTGAGCGGGGAGGAGCAGATGGGCACTGCCATGGTGGGAGCAAGGGAAGCAAGCGGGTGTGATGGGACAGAGAAATCGGGTGCCTGGGAATCTAAAGGACCTGGGTGATGTGGTGTGAAGGGGTGAGAAGATGCTGGGGGCAGAAGCCTGACAGGGAGATTTGTGGGGAAAGAGGGGAAAATATCAGTGTTTGAGAAGGTTTGGGGGAATGTTGGAGAAAAAAGGAGTAACCAAATCATCGGTAGGGGCAAAGGAGGAAAGAAATTGGACATTTAAGCGATTGGGGATATTGAAACCTGGCAGCATTTAAAGGGGCTAGACTGGGAGGAAGCTGGAATGAAAATCAAACTGAAGAAAATAGAACCATTGAAAAATTTTTTAAGTTAGAAAATATTTGGAAGAGGGTATGAGTAGTAAAAGTATTTGAATGGAGAGTGGGATATGAAAAAATCAGAAACTTGGAGGCATGCGACGACCTCTAAAAGGGCTGCAGCCAAGAAAGGGTACTGGGTAGAGGGGAATTCAGACAGTGGGGGACAAAGCTGAAAAGCAGGAGTGATATGGGAAGGCAGGGGAGCTGGAGGCAGAGGAAGAGAAAACATGGCTCTGTGCAGTGGTAGTCACAGCCAAGAGTGGCTCATTTGGAGAAGCTTTCTCTGCTCTGACCCAAGTGAGCACCTTTCTTCTGAGAACCACCCAGAGTGGAGTGCTCACTTCGAAGTGAGCTGAAGGGGTTAAAAGGACTCAATGAGACATAGATTGGACACATTCCCATCATGCACCGACACACCACATGTAATGAGACCTCATGTCCTATACCCACCTTAGGGGCATTTATTGCACCCTGGTGAATCCTACTCTACTTTAGTCTGTGTATTTTATTTAAATAATCAATTCACAATCCCTACTGGGTCAGCCTGCAGTCCAAGAAGTACTTTTGCATTCCAACCCCATTTTCCAGACAAGACCGCAGACTCACTGGTCCATAGTGCCACCCCACACCTGTTCCCAGCACAGGACAGAGACTTGAAGTACTTATAGCTATGCAAGATCTGGTTGAGCAAAATCCACACATGCTTATGCCTGCAAGCCTTATTCTCATTCTCAGCCAGGTAAGCCTCCCTATCATATTTTTTTCTTTTGCATATCACCCCCACTCTTGCAGCACAGGTCTGTTTGTTTGATCTTGTGCATGGTACCCATTAAGGTCATCCTGCTCTCAAACTTCTCTGAAGCCTGTAGCTCTCAGGGTTGTATCACTCTGGGGCAATTAGTGAGAAACTTTCTGTATTAGCTTCCTCTTCTTAGACCCTCCTAGATTCCTAGTTTGTAGAATCTCCTTGAGGATAAAGACCAGGGTCTTCATGACATAGTAGAGTGACTGAGTGCACCAAGAACTCTAGAAGGACAAAAATACGTTAACATATAGGCTTTTTTATTTCTAAGGTAGATGGTGATGTATTAATTTGTATTCCCTAAAAATCAATTTAGAGAATATCATCTCATAAGAAACATCAAATATTTCTCTTGGTTTTATAGTGGCTATGTTTCATTGAGTCAAAAAAGTAATTCTGTCACCCTCACCGCCCCATTTTCTGGCAGGGACACAGAGGCACAGGGTAGTTGAGTAATCTGTCAAGTGTCACTGGTTGGGACTATTTCCAAGTTTTTCCTTACTCACTAGATTCTTCTTTCTATGCCAGAGGAAAAGGAGGCATCTCTGCTAATCCTCCCACCCAGTTCCTGAGAAGAAAGCACCAGCACACCTGGAAGCCACATGCTGTGTTGGCCTGGTTGCTACTCCCCAGCACTCCCCTGCGTGAAGGACCTGGTGTCCCCTCCCATCACCTCCAGCCACACCTCTCCTGTCTTCAAAAGCCTACAAGGCTAGTCCTTCCTCACTCTAAAGTCCTTTCAGAAAAACTTCTGAAACAGTGTCTCAAACTGCTATAAAGTCATAAAGATGTTTCACAAGAGATCCCCTAGATATATACATATATTGGCAATTAAGCAAGTGCTGCACAGCATACTATTACCTTTGTGAAATCTGATGCACTCTCATAGTTTCTATTGTGATTGCTATGCTATGCTATGCTATGCTATGCTATTCTTTTAAGGGCCCATTATAACTGACCAAGTGGATGTCACAACTTTCTAACGAACCTATGTCTGCAGCTAAAATTCTCCAAAATTCCAGCAAGGACAAAAACTCAGGCCTAGATTTGCCACCAGTGCCCTCTTCTGGGCAGCTTTATTATAAGTAGTGTTTTATAACATTGTTTAATTGTCAACATCTGTATGTGTGCACTGAGTCTCACCACTGAGTCTCGCCAAAATAAATGATTTATGTCTGTTGGTTACAACCGAAAGGATTTAAGAAGCAATGTTTAGAAATGTTCTGGTGAATAAAGGCCAAGCTAAAATGGGCATTGTGTGTATGTGTGTGTGTGAGAGTGAGAAAGGCTCTCATCAGAGGCTGTGCAGATTCTTCTCTGCGATCTCCTCTTTTCCTGCAAATCAGCCAGAGGTGGGATCTCAGGGACCTGTCCCTGCTTCCCCAAAGCCATCCCCACACGAGGCCAGCCTGGGAAGAGGACAGCAGAGCTCACATCTCTGTGGAGAGGAGGGTGGGCTCAATGCAGGCCTCTGTGTCTTTGTTCATCTTCACTTCATAGGTCCTGTCCTGAGACCTTCCTACTGACACACCATGGTTGCATGGCTCTCCCAGGAAAGAACCTGCAATGTTCAAGATGGAGAAAATCATAAGGCACTGCCAACCCCACACCCCCACGCTTTGCTCAGCACACATGCACGCGTTACTTATGTACATACACATATACGTGTGCACAAACATGCACACATACACACATGTATACACATGTGAACATGCATGCAGTTTTTGTGGCCTCATTCTCCTGTGATGGCTGATGAAGCCATGGAGCCATGGAAGTGTTTAGATTAGGGAGAAGGTTCCATGTGGGAGAACATGTGGTGCTGGATCCAAGGAGATCTGAGTCCTGACCCCAAGTCACTTACCCTCCAGTCCAAGTTACTTAGCCCACTCCATTCCTCAGTTTCCCTTTCTATGAAATTGGAATGACATATGCCCTGCCTAACTCAGAGGCTTGCTGTGAGTCACAAATAATGCACAGATGAGATGTTGCTCTGAGGGTGGAAAGAGCCAGCATTGGCCGAAGGGTCCTGGGCTGTGCCATAAAAAATAGGGTGGGCCATGAAAAGACTGACCCCCACCCACCCCTAGCTGTGACAGCTAGGCCTTTATGAATTTGTTTGACACATGTCAGATATCCCTGGCATCTTATTTTGATGGTGCCCTTGATTCTGATACCTGCTTCCTAGAGTAAAGGCAAAGAGACGAAACCTCACCTAGAGGGTTTTGCTGTCCTGAGCAGAGGTTAGTGAGCCTGAGTCCTTGCTGAGTCTGAATCCCTCCTGAGCTCCAGACCCTTCCACACTGAGATGTGCCTTTCCTGCTGGGACAGAGTCTTCTGGTCACAGGGCCATGTCTTCTTTAGCTCTGAGCCACGTGCTCTTCTTTTCCCATCTGTGGTTAGCTCAGTGCCTCCCTCTGGCTTACTTCCTACAGACCCTGCAGGTCCCGCCTGCTTTATCCTCAGACCCCTGAGGGCATCAGGGGAAAATCCAGTCCATCCTTTCTGTACTCTGTGCTGGATCAGTGCCCCTGGCTTTCAGCATCTCAGACAGCTTAGGGCAGTTCTCTCAGGGAGGCCTGCAGATAACTACCCGGCCTGCAAAGGGGAAGGGAAGATTAGAAGTGAAAACTCCAAGTAGATTGGGAGGGGAGGGAGGTGGAATGGGCTTTGGAGAGGCCTAGGGAGATAAACTGGAGATGCAGAGTGTCAGCAGGCAGGCAACAGCATTTCTGGGGACTACTGAGCACAGGACTTTCTGGCTTATCCTCAGCACAAGCAATGTCGGTGTCTGAGCTGCCTTTAACTTTGAGCTGCAACAAAGAGGACAAGGCCCAGGAACAGGAATGCGGGCTACACTTGTCTTCACCAAGCTGAATCTTGGCACCCTGTGTGTTGTTTGCCCCAACTGCAGCAGACAGAGGGAACCAGCACTTCGTGAGCACTGACTGTGTGCTGGGCACTGGGCTGGATGCTTTGTGTGTTTTGCTTCACAAAGAGATGCATCTGTGGGGACAAGGAAACCCCCTGGGGTCCCCACCCCCAGGTCCTCTAAACATCTCTCTCCACTTATGTCATAGAGTACAAAACTTCACAGGAAAATGCCCTTAGAGGGTGAGGAATCAATTCACCCTGAGCAGCTAAAGATGGACTTGGAGCCCTCCTTAAGCAGAGGCTTTGATGAAGCCAGCATGGGAGAGGGCGGTATGGGGACCAAGTCAGGACTTCTCTAGAATGAGGGTCTCCTAACCTACTTTCAGGCAAGGCAAGTCAAGAATTCCTTTCTGACCATGCTTCAGGGGAGAAAGCATCAGAGGGTGACCTTCCTGCTGCTGCTGTTTTCTCCATTTTCTTCCTTTCCTACCTCAGCAGGCCAAGGGGCCACATGCTGGGGTAGTGTATTCCAGGCCCCAGCACTGTTCTCCTACCTCTCTGACATTTCCCCTCTCTTCCTTTGTGGTCTTCTCTCTCAGGCACCCATCACTCTCCATCATGGGGATCCTGCCAAGGAAGGTGGAAGGAGGAAGCCAGGGATCTGAGGTGATCCAAGGGCAGCCTGAGTGGACTGAATGAAAGGCAGTGGGGCAGGGTTAAAGGGTCAACTACATTAGGATGATTCACATGAAATTGCTGATATTTGGTCATTTTTAACCTACAAAAACCATAAGTACTTCCGGTTCAACTAAAACTTCAAAAATTGCTTCAGTCAGGCTCATGTTCTACTGGACTTGTAGCCAGACAGTTGGGAATGCAAGGCACTTACAGGAAGGCGACTGGGAACCTTGCAGCAAGTCTCCTCTGGGCAGCTTGCAGCAGCACAGTCACCAAAGGAAGCACATGCTTCATTCGGGAAGTGCAGGGGAATCCTGGGGAATTAAGGAGGAGAAATCAATCAGGAGTTACAGACTGAAGTGTTTTAGTCCATCTTTGAATGAATTCACATAATAAATGATTTTAAATTAACTAACTACACCTTATGGTAAAATATGTGCTCCACAGTTTCTGATGTGTCTTTGTTATAACTGGTTTTGGGAAAGATCCTGCCTTCTCTTCAACCCCTCATAGAGGCAACTGGTAAAACTCCTGACCTGATAAGGAATTTTAATTACAATATAGCATATCTAATGCTAAGGACAGATTTTCAAAAAGGTACAGATCTAATTTCATAGGCGGTAACCCATAAGATTTCAACTTAGAGCATAATATAAGAATAGTTTCTCTAACTAAAGCAAAATATTCCATAAAAATTTCTGAAAGTGAAACATTATGCAACAGCAATAGATTCCATTGCATATAACTGAAAACATGTACACAACAACCGTGTCTGTGTAAGTTAAAAAGAACATGGCCACACATAGGCTAAATAAAAGATTAGACTTATTTCATGAAAGACACAAAGAGAAGCAGAGATGCATAGCAACAAGGGAAACCATATTTACCCATATAAAAATGGTGAACTCCTTCTTCCAAGCATATTCTAAAGTGGACTAAAGTAGTCCACTTATCAGGTTCCTATCATAATCACCTATTTTGCATATAAACATAAAGCTAAAATTTGTGCTTGTTAGACATCACCCTTGAATAACACTTGATCTTGTTGCTTAGTGAGGGCAAGTCACACTCTTGAAGATGCATCACCAACAGGAACACTTTCCCACTGGAATTGTTCTGCTATAGTACCCGGAAACCTCACCCAATAACTGACCTGAATGTTTAGTCAAAAAATATTAAGAGCCATGGTTTGCTTAGCACTGTTTTAAGATTATATATGTATTTATTCAATTTATATACTTTTTCCTTGTTTTAGAAACATGTTTATGTTGAACCAGAATTATCTTTTTAAGAGTAAGAACCAGTTTTGAAAGTTATATCCTATTTAATTTTTTTGTCCACATAATAAAATTGTTTAGCAAACGGAGGAAACTAAAGCATTGTGGTTAACAGCAAGCTTCTTCTCATTTACATGGTAGTTGAATTAATTTTGAGAATTATTTTTCTTTATTTCCCTCCCCATGATACAAAATATAAGACGAACCTTGACAGCTGGCTCAGGTATTGGAGTCTTCTCCATAAAGGTGTATAAATTTTCTTTACTTATTTTTGATTTCTGATTCTGCAGATTACCTCACCATTTTTGAAATGATTCCTTGAAATGAAGTCATTCCACTGATTTTTCTCTTACCTCACAATACCTTCTTAGCCTTTTGGGGGATATTCTACTAAATGTTGCTTAAATATTGTTTTTATCCATTTTCTGCTTTTTTCTTTCTCCCTCCACCTTTTCCCTAGGTGGCCAAAACCACACCAAATATTTATCTTTTGATACATTCTAAAGTCCAGACTCACTTTTTTGGTTTTGTTTTGTTTTGTTTTTGTCTACAGAAGGAAGATCATACAACACCTTCTCCAACTAAAATATATGCTTAATGAAATCATTATTTGTCTTTCTCTTCCTCAAAACATGCTGTTTTATCAACATTTCAATATATCAAATGTCTACAGTGATGGTACCAATGTTCATCTTTGCCTAAAATAAAACTTTTGAAGATTTCCCCTCCCGTGTGATGTTCCTCTTAAACAATTTGGAAAGACTTTTCCCTCTTCTTCCCCTTAACCTGTTCTACCCTAACTGAGAAGCCAGCCACCTCTAAATACTAATGAAAACACAAAATTTAAAGATCAGTTAAGTAAGTTAACTATAAGATTTTTGTTTGGTTGGATGTTTTTTGGCAACCATTAAAGATTAGTAAATTAAGAAAGTAAAATTGTTCAATAAAGTATCCAATTAAAGAAGACAAATAGTACAAATAGAAGATTTACGCTATATATAAATCTCTCACAAAGATTTAAATTAATCTGTTATAAAATGATCTCATATTTTGCAATAATCATCATTCATCTTACAAAATAAACAAATGCCACTTCTGATAATAACTATCCATTGAAATATATTTATAGCTCAGTTTAAACCTTTTATCAACATGGGCCAGAAGCAAAAGCATATCCCATTGAAGATGGATCAAAGAGATCATATACTTAGAAACACGCATGTGCCTATATATACAAATACACAACAGTCCTACATAAACAATATGTACAGTTAAAATACACTTTAAGAACAAAAGATGCATTAGAGCTAAATGGCAAAAAGTTCTGACCTCTACCTTGTGCTTATTATATTTTATTATTTTCCCACTTAACCAAAGCCCTGACAAGGAAAAGGAACTAATAAATGTTAATTGAACAAAAGCTCACTATAGCAGAATAAAGCTGAGCAGATGCCAGCACATTTCCTGTACAGCCTTCAGAGCTGTGGCCCAATTACATGCCTTTTCTTTATAATTTACCTGGTCCCAGGTGTTTCTTTACAGCAATGCAAGAATGGCCTAACACAACTGCTTTGCATGTGTTCATTTTACAAAATTGAAGAGTGGGAATAAGAAAAGATGTATTGCTCTGAATACATCGTGTATTTTGAAATATGTAAAATAAGGTACATTTATTCCTATTAGATAACCAGAAGGAAAAAAAACATAGTCTAGATTTGGGCCTCTTAAATATTAAATAATATAAAGAAGGAGGAGACATCTCAAATAACCAAAATATATCAAGCCAACATTAGGTAATTTGGAAAAAATTTGTATAATAAGTCATAACTAAAAATTTACCACACTACCCAAAGATATCTAGAAAAGTAATCACGTATAATTACTCTTAATAACACTAATGACTAAAATTAAAACACATTACTTTAAGTTAAATTAATGGTTCTAGGAAAATATGGTAAGACAAAGATGACAAAATGCCCCTCCTTCAAGATCTACTGCAATGTATGTATTTTTCCCCAAATAAGTACATTTCATTAGAACAAGAATTGTATTCTCCAAAAAATTAAGCATTTATTCTGACTTCCTTAACTATACTAAAGGATACTCAAATAGCTGTAGCAGTAGAGAAAATCTTTCTTCATAAAATAATTCTGTAGAAGTTTTTTTACACAAGAATTTTAGCTAACACAGGTTAAAAGAGTAAAGGAAAAGAATAGCATTAGAAAAATCACTGTTTTGCAATGACAGGACATTTACAAAGAAAGGATGTGGCTGCCACCACTTATACACTGATCAGTCACTCGTGTGGCCATTAAAGTGGCAGGTCCAGGCACATGTGCCTCCAGATCCAATGCAAGCTGAAGTAGACAGCAAGCCTGACCAAGTGTCTTAGCAACGACATCAAAATCAAGCTGAATTTAATCAAACTTTAGATGTAAATTCCAACTAATTGGAAATACATGGAAGACATGTTAAAAACCTTTCACAATGCAAAGTTCTTTAAAGAACACACAATTGCTTGAAGAACTGCTATTGTTGTATCTCGGCTGGATTATGAAATTTGGGAGAGATCATGGAGGCAAAACATGAAAGTTGTGGGACGTTCATGGCATTCCTTAAAAGTTATGTCAAGGAATTTAAATCCTGTTCTCAGGCCAGCATTTCCCCAAGTCTTCTGAGATATTGATATAGGTTCTTCACTCTTTAAAAGGTGAGTTGGGTGCTGCCTTTTTTAATAAGTTTTGAAAACATATTTCTTTCAATTAATAATGTTCGTGGCCTGGCATGGTGGTTCAAGTCCCTCTGACAATGCTGTTGACATTTTGGCTGTGATTGGTTTTATCGAATCTAAGGCCAGTGTAGGGATAGTTAACATCTTTATCATATTAAATTCTCCAATCTAAGAACATGATACATCTTGTTCATTTAGGTGTTGTGGTTTCTGTGTAGATCTCCAGCACACATTATGTTAGATTTATTTCTTGGTATTTGATTTCCGCTTTTGATGGTTTTGTATATGGTATCATTTTAAACTTGTAAATGTATGTTTGTTGCAAGTGTACAACAATGCAATTGTTATTTCTATGTTAGTCTTATATCCAGTAACTTTGCTAAAATTATTAATTCTAAAAACTTATCCTTTGGGTTTTCTATGTATACCATCAGCATCTACAAATAAGGCGAGTTTTAGTTCTTTGTCTTTTTATTTTAACTTGCTGGTTAAAAAGACTGATTAATGAACATTAGCAACTTTCTCTCAGTTAATACAAGGACTTGACATCACTCCCCCACATGCCTTTTTACTGTTATTCTCATGTAATATTTTATTTTCACTTGTTTTATAGAGCAAGAGGTTTTTAATTTTAATGAAGTTCAACTTACCAATTTTTCCCTTTACGGGATTGTACTTTCCTATTAGGTCTAACTAAAAACTCATTACCCTGCCCTAGGCCCCAGATATTCTTTTCTGGTTTTTTTCTAAAATGTTTATAGTTTTACATTTTTCATTTGAGTCTCTGACCCATCTCAAGGTAATTTTATATTTTGCCATGAGGACCTGAGCATCCTAAGGTTTCTGTACGGTTTGGGAGGTGGGTAGAGCAGTGTATTCTCTCCCCCTCTTCACTCCATGAGTCTGCAGAAGAAGATGAAGATGCTTCAAGTCAGAACCAACTTCATATCAGCAGGTTGGTTTCTTATTTTGGGGCCAGTGGCTCCTCCAGAAACTTCTGATGAGTGAGTCAGTGGAGGAGTGCGTGCCTCATCTATTTTGAGTAGGGAATGCCTTTGGGACATGTTGGATGCACAGCTTCAAGTAGACAAGTCCCCTTTCTTCTGCCACTTCTTGACCTCAGCCTCACACCACGGTGACTTGTCCTAACCCAGTATCCTCAGCTAAGCTCCTGG